AAAATTTACCATACCACCTCCACCTCAACCCAAGCCATTCACTTTGGAAACCCTTCTCAAACCAAAACATAGGCTAAATGTTGATATTCTATTTGCAAATTTTCTAAAAGAAATAAAGATGAATTTAGGCTCTGTTCAGAAGAAATGCTTGTCAACCATGGATGCAAATGAATCTGATGCTATCTGGAATAGCTTCATTACAAGATTCAATAATGTTGCCTCAAATCTGAAGAATGTCTGTTCTGATGATGCGAAGCTCAGATTTGCTGAAACTGCCAGAAGCATGATATGGAATGTGAAAAGATCTACACCTTTGCTTCTTGAGGATGAACCTTCATCTTCTGGAGTATCTGCTACAGAAGTTTTTGCAGAATCTGCTTTTGAAGAAAATCATTGGCTCTGACAATTATGGAAAACCCCTCTGCATCTGAAGCTCCAGACTCTGCATCTCCAATGGAAATTGACTCTGCACCAGCATCAGAATCTGCCCCACCTTCTTCATCTGAGATCAAGAAAAAGAATCCAGATCTAGAAGATAAGATTGCAGTATTAGAAGCTGGACAATCTGAGATCAAGTCATGGATGGCCAAGCAAGATCAGAAGACTGAGAACATGGCACAATGGATGTCTAAGCAAGATCAGAAGAATGAGAACATGGCAAAATGGATGACAAAGCAAGAAGAATCCTCATCTGAGATCACTCAACTTCTGAAGATGATTTTGTCCAAGCAAACCTAGTTTTATGTTTTTCTGTATCTGATGTTTGTGCACATGTACTTGAACTTATCTGATGTTTTGTATGTTTTTAATATGAATGAATGACTATGTTGTTTTCTCTACATGGATGCATCTTTTCTGTATTTCCTTTTATGTGTCTTTAAAAGTTTTACTTTTTGATTATAACAAAAAGGGGGAGAAAATGGATCTGACTGTTCAAATAAACTCTACCTAAATGAAACTCAGACATATCTAATTATAACTAACGTGAACTCTTAGTATTTCAGAACATTTGAAAAATCTGACAAATTCTTTAAAAGTAACTCTGAGATCCCCAGATCAAGTTTTAACCAATCAGGCTCTGATTCTGAAACATTCATCCAAGTCAAGATCTAATTTTTGGAACAATCAGGCTCTGATTTTGTAAAGAATACTCATGCAAAAAAGGAAGTTTCTATTCTCTCTAAGTATTCAATTCAGGGGGAGATTCATCATCTCAGGGGGAGTTATAATTATTGCTTTATTGAACAAAATTTCTTATGTTTTTGTCATCATCAAAAAGGGGGAGATTGTTAGAACACAGATTGGTTCTTAATTATATCTCTATGTTTTGATGATAACTCTTATGAAATTTTGTATTAAAGAATTATATACTCTAAAATTTGTTCAAGTTTGTTTGCTGCAGATATTAAAGATAATATACTTCTGAAAGAAAATTAGATCTGAACATGAAAATATGCAAGGCTCTGAAGCGTCAGAAGCATCTCTTAGAAGAATCTGAACGCTGCCTACACAAGATTCTGAGCACTGCCTACAGAAGATTCTGAAGCAGAAGCTACAGAAAGATTCTGAAGCAGAAGCTACAGAAGGATCTGAAGCAGAAGCTACAGAAGCATCTGAAGCATTGAAGACTTTTGTATGAAGAGTTTCAAGCTTAGTTTATTTCAGAAGACTCTGATAGTACTACGCTGCCAGTACTGAGGATCTGATTCCTAAACTCTGCTTTAATGTTATCACACACTGAAAGCACACTTGCTGCAATGCTCTGATTCAGCAAACTCTAATGAACATCAAAGGCTCTTATCATTCAAGGCTCTGATGTTATTTGCTGAAACTTGTTGAAGAAGAATTCAAAGTTATGTCCGTTGGTTTGGCCAAACGACTCTTTCCTTATTTATGCTAGTCACAAGAACACAGACAAAAAGGATTTATCTGTGCATTCTACTTCTAGGAAAGGTCATGTGATGTGAAGACAAAAATGCTACAACCCTTTTTAGTACACAGCCTTCAACGTGAAAACAACTTGGACTTCTGTGCCTATAAAAGCAAGACTCCATCACTCTTCTTCAGTTGAAGAAATATTGAAAGAATTCAAAGAAAAGCTCTCATACAATTTATTCTCATTGCTTAATTTATTTCATTGTTCTTAAACTTAAGTGTAAAATCACAGTTGTGATATAGCTTTCTTAGAAGCATTTAAACACTTGTTTAGTTTTACATATTGATTGTAAAAGTCCTTAAGAAGATCCAGTTGTGATCAGTTCCTCTTAAGAAGACTAAGAACAGTTGTTCTTAGTGCTTGCTATTGTAATCAGTTTGATTAATAGTGGATTAAGTCCTTGGTGAGAAAGGCAAGTCACTCTTGATAGGATGGACTAGAGTAATTGAGTTCAACGAACCAGGATAAAAATCTTTGAGTTTTTATTGCCATAAATTTTTCTATATACTTATTCAACCCCCCTTCTAAATATTTTCTCACCTTCACGCCCGACGTGTGGTGATAGGCCGACTAACATGGGCCATGAGGCCGCCCAACGTGTAGTGATAGTTCTCCCTATTGTGCTTGGATTGCTTGAACTAATTTCCATTATATATTTGCTCAATAAATATGGGTAACGATTTGAGCAAACAATGAATGATTAGAGAGATTCAATGGACAAATCGTCTCTCTCATAATTCAAGGGAAAATGTGTCCCTTCTGCTCCACAACTTTGATAACGGAATTAGAGTGACTGCTCTCTAACCCAAGCTCAAAAAACATTATATATATATATATATATATATATATATATATATATATATATATATATATATATATATATATATATATATATATATATATATATATATATATATATATATATATAATTTCAAGAATGGGATAAGGGATATAATATCTCGGCTAACAATCCTACTTAAGTTAACCCTAAACACATCCAAATACCCTAAACTCCTTGACAACCCTATAGAATAAGGAGTTTTATAGTACTTTTATGAACTTTTTAGCGAGTACATATAGAAAAGGGCATTCCCGTTGCACAAAAAGCGGCTAAAACCTAACAATTGATTGAATTTGTTTAATTGAGTTGTTAATTCATACCTGATTGGAATAAGATTCATTTGGGAGTCAGATTCTCTCATCAAATATTTAGTCATAGCTAATATGAATAATAGTTATCTTTAGAAAAGGTCTTCCCCCACACCTAACTCGGTTGGAAGCTATTGAACGGGAATAAATAACATGGTCATAGTTTGAAGAAGCATTGCAACGACCTCGATTGAAACCAAAAAATCATATGATCAAAATATTACTGAGATGAATACAAATTCACAGAGATGTGCCCAAGGAAAAAATGTTAATGCAAGTCTCGACCTATGTAGAAGATAAAAGAGGTCGAGATTGCAAGTAACATCAAAATCATTAAGATCGAAACTAGTTTACCTCTCAAAGAAAATGCTACTCTCGTCTAAATGCTAAGGGAAATATCAAACTTGTTTGCATGTAACCCAACTGACATGCCCTACATTATCCAAATGTAGTTTCTCATTATGCAAACAACAATCTTAGATACATGGTAGTGAGTTGGTTGATCGCCTATTTCACCAACTACCTCAGGCTCTTCCCCAGGTTGGTGCGCATCACCATCTTCACCAACAAATTCATCTTCCTCTTCTTCGCCTTCACCAATGGCTTCAACTATTAGACCGTCTTTGACCTCTTTTGTGAAACTCATCTCAAATACATCAGTATTGGGAGCAACCAACTTTACTTAGTGAGTTGGTTGATCACCTATTTCACCAACCCCCTTAGGCCCTTCCCCGAGTTGGTGCGCATCATCATCTTCACCTGACAACATTGAACTTCTCTTCACCAACAACATTGAACTTTTCTTTTCTACCAACATTGAACTTCTCTTCTCCGCCTTCATCAATGGCTTCAACTATTAGGCCCTCTTTGATCTACTTGGTGAAACACATCTCAGCAACCAACTTTACTTAAACAACAACTTCGGAAAACCTGCTGGCAAACTAAAGAGCTCTAATAATCTTTATGTCACCGACCTTTTGTAACTAGAGGAGTTGGTGGACCGCATCACCTTCACCTCCCCTTGAGCTTCACCATGGAAGTTTCAAACTCCTCAAACCTTCGGCTGAAGATCACTTTCCAACAAAAAAAGTTTTGATAATATGAGCAATTCTTATATTGTTCTTGAAATTTTTTGTATTTTCAATTTTTGCAATTGACACTGTCTCAGTCAAAAAAGGCGACATAAAAACAAGAAAGCCACATAGCCTTGTGTTTGCTTATAAAACATCTTCACGTTGGTAAACGTTTTCCTCTACATTATAGTACAAAATATCTTGACGTCGGTAAACGTTTTCTTGTATTCTAAACATTTTCTCATAGTTCACCGACAACACAAACATCACCACTCACTCACGGAACACATTCTATTAACAAATTAAAATAATAGAACACTACATACATAAGAGTACAATTGATAGGGCCTTAGTAAAGTACTATAGTGCTTACAACCAAAAGAAAAGAAGAAAAACAAAAGGTACTATAGTACTTTCCATCACACCTAAGTTTTGAAAAGAAAAAACCTTATAAACAAATCAATATTTGCAAGATTATATTTTGATATTTCTGTCTTGGAAAACTTCATAGATGTCTTGTTATTAATTTGTTAAGAACTTAGTATTTTTAATTTGCCTATGTGTTTATGCATAATTTTTAATTTGCTTATGTAGTAAAATACATTATTATAGAGTGATAATACACTTATGTATGTAATAGTTAAAGTTGACAAATGAAAAACAACTTTTAGAATAGTCATTGAAGAATAAATTCAATCATGAAAAAAATTATTCCATTCAGGAAGAGCAAATATACAATTTCTAACAAATCTTACAAGTATTGTAATTTGTATCTGTACTGAAGCAATGCAATGACCATTTCATGCATCAAGTAGAAAGCAGCAGAAAACGTAGCAGGATCATCACTCGCTATGTTTTGCTTTTGAAAGAGTTTTGACCATACCCTTGGCGATCTTCCAGAACCAAAACAAATTCATCATTGCCAACACAGGAGGCACCACCAGTAAGCTATAGAAACCCATCGGAAAGACCTCCTTAACCTGTAATAGGGAGAAAAAGTTTGAACTTATTCACTGCATTACAATCACAGGGAAACTGTTAAGTTATATATGTATGTGTTGAACATGCACACCTCATCAAAATGGGTCCACATGTGAGTAAACAAGAACATGAACAGAAAAATCCTTGCTATCTGCACAGTATTACAAATCTCTGTTAACACTTCCTATCCAAGTATGCAACATGCGGTATTTGTTTTTGTCAGAGCACTTTTGATAATCCTTTTTAATTATCTTTGTAACTTTGCTACTTGCAAGTGCCTTTTGCAAGAACATAGTGCTCATCGAGGGCCAAAAGAGAAAACTAAATGAAGAAACGATCACAACAAAAGCATGGCCATAAGCAACTAATGCAGGTGCTATAACAGAACTAGAATTGAGACCAAGAGTATAATAGACAGTACCAACCACCCGAAGAACAATGCAACGCCATTCCAGATGTAAAGTTTTGAGCTTTTAAGACCAGCGGTATCCAAGTACCTGTATATATGTAACTAATGTAATAAATTAATGTTGACAAAAGTAAAAGCAAGTGAATGGATGTCTTGACAACAGACTTACCATCTTAGGTTTACAAAAGGAGTTGTGCTCTCGGAGAAAAGAACCATTAAGATGTAGATCTGTGCTTGACCACTTAGCAAAGATTGGATAATTGAAAACATCGACAGTCCATGGTGTAGAACCTTAAATGAATGAAGTTAGTTCGCATGACTAAGATATGGAGTTCAATGTACCTTGAAAGTATAGAACAATTAAATGACATGTTTGGTTTGAGAAAGTGTTCTCTACTTTTATTTCATGTTTTACTCTTAATTACAGAAACACCACCATTTTTCATTTTGTTTCCTGCTTCTAGTTTGGATAGAAAGTAGTGAAATCAATAGGCAAAAATGACTTTTGTTTTCATTGTTTGTTAAACAGATCTTTAAAAACAAAAAGTAAAATGAAAACAGGGTGACATTTTTGCATTGTTTTCTCTGTTTCCTATACAAAACTTTGAAAGCAGGAAAATGAAAACATTGATGCAATTTTGAAATTAAAAGTGAAAATAGAAAATAAGTAAATGTGCCATAATATCTTTTTGACTTACATATTCTAGACCTCCCAAAGCTGGAAACAGCCAAATTACCATTGCCAGATCTGCTAAAAAGTAACCTGTAGAGAACTGTACAAAGAGAGGTGAAAAAAACTAATAAGCCAACTGAATAATCATTGTTTTAATCATTCCTAAGAATAATATTTATTAAACAGAATAACATAGATAAAAGCAAGATTATTAACATGACATTATGAATGCACCACCAGAATATGATGGGTTTATTTGCATAATGACTGGTTTAATATTCACTACAAGCTATTTCTTTTCTGAGAAAAAATACAGCAAACAATATCATTTTCAAAAATAAAATACAATTACCTTTTAGGCCCGCATATTTTATAACTTCCCTCATGTGTATCATTTTTTCCTAAACTAGTTAAAATGTAAAAGAACTAAAAATGTCACTTTCTGCTAAATCAAACTTTGCATTATCTTTATCAACCTACCGACAATACTGAATTTGAGAAAGTAGATGATCTATTAACAACAAGCTTCTCTTGTGAATCATCCTTGAAGAGATCTGATAAGATCAAGAGGTAAAATGACGTAAAGGATGCAAAAATAGCATGAAATGTTGAGAATCCCCTGCATTGAAAATTTTACCCAAAGTTAATGCAAATGTCAATTATGGACAAAATCAATTAAAACAGAAATCATTATACAAGAGGAATTACCTGTTGTTCCATTCAACTTTCCCAGCACTCGACAATTTTCGGTATCCCGCGAACAACCGAGAACTAAAAGTCGCAGTCAATCTATAAACCTTCAAGAAGATAGTTAAAAAGGATCATATTTCAAAATAATTAAATAAAGTGACCTTAATATGACAAGAAATATTTTAGCATTATCTGCAAATTGAGGCATATTTAACAAGAACAAACTAGAAAAGGAAATGAATGAACACATCATGTGCATCTAGACCTAACAATTCAAACTCTAACTCATTACCACAACTTCAGAAACTGAATCTGTAAAACCAAAATAGTCCGAGCTCATCTCTACCTAGACCAATACACAATCAATAAAAAATTACACTCAGAGTGACTTTAGAGGCTTCTATTAACCCAATCCAATTGGATATAAAAGCAATAAGGAAATATTTACTAACTCATTTGAAGTTCCAAATATAAAGTGCATACTAAAAAAACATGTGGATGTAACAATAGGCACTAGATTTTAATTGCCAAATACGTCTTCAATTGTAAAATAAGTACAATTGCAATTTCAGTCCATAGATATCCCACAACTACGTAATCGACCCCCCATCTTGTACAAAATTTTTACCAGTAATTTCATGACAAAATGCATAGAAGTGCAAATCTCTTCCAACTATTTGATTTGTTTGTCTTTTTTGCAGTAAGCCACATGATACCGAGTTACACTTTAGATTGCATCATTATGAAGTAACACCTACTCTACAACTACAAATTACATTCAAAACATGGCATATAACTAATGTCATACGAGTGGCAGAAATTACTCCAGTACATAAGCTTGATTAACAAATATTAATTCCTTCATATAATTTAGGTTAACTCCTTCATCTGATTAATCATTCATCTTACATCAACTCAAGAGAATGCATTTCTGAAACGATATAAACCATTTCTTCTCCACCACAAAAAACATCAAAATCCTAATTCAGTTCTTTAGTTTCTAATTCCTTAAGCATTTACATCATATAAATCAGTGACAACAAATTGATGAACAAGCCATCTTACTTACAACAAAACTGAAGATAATACCGGCAAAAACAGACGCCAGCCATTGAATTTCTTTGCTCGGAACAACATCAGCATCATCAGTGAAAAAACCAAAAGAAAAAGGACTTCCCATCCAATTCCCTTGTTGAAAATCACAAAATCAAACCCAACTGCATCAAAGACATAATAAAATAAAAATAAAAGTCCATCTATGGAAGCATATAGAATAATAGAGTGTGGAAATTGGAATCCGAATAAAAAAATTAAAAAACTAGATTATAGAATTTTGTATTGGAAATAAAAAATTGAATAACCCTTTTGAATAAGGAAACGTGTCTACCAAAAAGTGGTCACTCATTAATACACTATGGCTATATCATTTCCATACGACTTTTCACAAATAGCTTGTGAACCAAACCATATCAACACATGACATGATAATTGCTACATCAAAATTCATGAAAAGTAAACAGAAAAAACAGCTATGATGATAATCAAAAAGGAAAAAGCGCTTGATCAAAACTAACAAGTACTAGTACTAGGTTTGAGAAATGCATAAAATGGAAGAAATTGGGTACCGATAAGGACAAAATAATGCACCTCTCCCCATTGAATTGAGGTTTTATGGTGAAAGTTGAAGATTGAGAAAGTAAAGGGAGAAGAGAAAGAGAGTGGGAACTGACCTGAGGAGAAAATGAGGGGAAAGGGGAAGAGCGTGTTAAGGCATTTGAATTGAATATTGAAGTATGACTGTAATGAATGATTGATTAATTCTTTTATCTGTCCTTTTGATACTGAGATACTTCTAGTTACTACCTGCCAAATACTTGAATAAGAATATTTGTTATAATTTTATTTTACTATAATAATAAAATATTTTACATGGTCAGTGCATCACAACTATTTACGAGTAATACTTTATATGTGATTAAAGAAAAAGTCAAACATTTAGACAAAAATTTAACAGTTATAATTTACTGAGCTGTGTAAAACTTCTTTACACGTTCGTGCATTTCAATTAAACTAAAAAAATAATATCAAAATAGTTGTTATGCACCGTCGCGTTAGTGTAAATTATTTTACACGGTGAGTACATTACAACTATTCATAAGTGATACTTTATATGTGATTAAAAAAAAGTTAAACATTTATAAAAATTTAACAGCTGTGATTCACAGATAGTGTAAAATCTTTTTACATTATCAGTTCTTTTTAATTAAATTCAAAAAAAATATGACATTGTCATTTTTTCTTGAAATTTTTTCACAAATATTCCACATTTTAAATTTTGTTCTCAAAATAATCAAGGTTTCAAAAAATATCTCAATATATTTCAGGCGAATTGGCGACTTCACCTACTTTTGCAATAGCGGTGTAAATTGGATTGACGTTTGCATATGGTGTTCTCAACCCAATTGGCGTTAGTGTATACATTTTCAATTGTGGTGTCAATTCATATGGTGTCACCGTGTATTGTGTTTTTTTAAACATAAATAAAAATATTAAATACTTAATTTAAAATACTTTTCCAAACACTAATGATGACGACTAGGTTGGTCATACTGGTCATTGCTTCCACACCCCTTAACTACCCTAACTTGTTGGACTCGTTGTTGATTCACCACAAGTGTTTGAGGATTTGAGGTCTCAGGTACATCATCAGATTCCTTAAGAAGTTTTTGTGTTTATATGAAGTCTTGTGTATGGAGTGACATGTTGTCGTAACTAAGTTTGCGATCCATGCTTGAGTAGTTAGGATGTGTTGATGGGTTATTGTTATGCGGATCGGACGATTAAAGGAAGACATTTGGTGTGAATGATTTGTTGGAGGAAGGTTGAAATGGTTGTTGTGGTGTTTGATAGTCATATGGTTGTTGTGATGTTTGGGAGTTTTGGCTATGATATGAGGAAAGGTTGGTGTTATATATTCCTTGGGTGTTTTTGCTATGGTAGGATGATTGTTGGGGGGATTACGTATTTTGGGTGTCTTGTTAATAGTCATCTTGTTGGCGATGGTATAGGGAACACTCTTGATATTGTGGTTGGATGTCTGATATATTTTGATTGTGGGTTTCTGTGTTTGTGAGTCAGTAATTTTGTTGGATAAGGGGATGTGAGTAACTGGTATGATAATTTTGTGGGAGGTTAGACATTGAAGCTTCTTGTGTGTAAGTGGTTTGGCGTGGATCGTATAGAAACCTATCTTCAGAGACAAACCCAATTGCAATCGATATGTACCAAGCCATATAATTATTAGTTGGTTTAGATTAGGTTGACATCACAGCGTCACGTAAGACATGGTCACGATGGTGTCTCCATTTACGACACTCAAATTTAGCGAAGTCCTTCGAATTGTTAAAGTTCCATTGTTCATTAATTTTTTTGTTGGTGTCTGTCGTACCTCGAAAAATAAGTGCACGACCTCGCGAAGCACAATCGCACGCCCGCGGGATAGACTTAACAGAGTTGTCACCGATCTTTATTTATTCCCAAGAAGGGAAAGGGAAAATATCGAATAAAACCCTTAAAAGAAAGACAAGGATATGGTCATCGCAACCAATATCATAGTTCAGGAGTTGGTTACGCAAGGGGAAGGTATTAGTACCCCCCACATCCGTTGTATTCAACGAGAACCGTTAGGTTAGTTGTGCGTGTTAGTGTTCGTTTAAAAGTTAGTCTTCTCAAGTTATTAAAAGGGAAAAGAAAATAGAAAAGGACCTAAAAAGGTTTTTATTACTAGAGGGTTGGCTAACAAGATTTCGCAATCCTGCTCCTACGTATCTCAAAAGAGAAATCAAGGCACAAGTAGTTCTGGGTATAAAAAAAAGTTTGTTTGTTGGTCGATTTTAGCAAAATTTATCATGTATTAATCGACGAAAAACATTGTTTGACTCAAAACAGGTGAGGAGCGAACGCTTACACCACATTGAATGGATTTACAAATCACATTCACACCACTTATCTCAACTCAATTGTTGTGGATGAAGCATTATTCTGCATTATTTTAAGACAAAGTGTCTTCCGTTTTTTAAAAGGTTTTAGGTTGTGCCAAAAAGCGAAAAGGTTTGGATGTGTTTGATGTGTCTTAGGGTTGATGAGAGAGTTCGTACGAGGGAGAACTACATCTTGTGTCCTTACTCTCGGGAGATCGTTGACTACTCCCCACTCCTTTTTTGTCTTTATTATTGAAAAGTGTTTGAGTATTTTCAAATGTTTTGAGGTTTTGATTGGAAAAAATAGTTTGATGTTGGATCAAGCTTTTATTCATGATTATGAAAAATGTTTGAAGTGATTAGAAGTTTTGAAAATGATTTGAGTGTAAGTGAAAATGGATAATGGTTTGACTTGATAAAAAAATGGCTCGACGTTGGATTGAGTGCTTATTATTTTTTGTTCTTTTTGAAAAGGGTTGATTTTTTTTGTTATTTTTTGTTAATGATCCAACTAGAGGAAATAAAAGCAAGAAAATCGAATAGAAATTACAAACAAGGAGTGGGGATACACTTGAAAATTAGGGAATAACGAAGCAATTAAAGTATAAGCTATCAAACAAATAAATGCAAATACACGAAAGAAAAGAGCTCCTTGTAAGAAGGCGCAAGACTAAGCCAGGGTACTCGAGAAATAAATCGAAATCAAAGGCAACTGAATTTAACTCTATACTAACTTAGAGTAGATTCATGTAAGAATCGCTCTGTAAGTAGCCGACCAAAAACCTATGCACTTAAGCGGTTTTCAAAAGTTAAATTTGATTTTAACTCCGAGATCGCAACGCAATGAAAAAAATGAAATAATGGCATAATCCAAAAATATTATTATTATTATAGCAGTGTTGCAATTTTACATCAACTAAAAGTAATCGAAAAAAACAAAAAATTTAACACGACACACACGTGCGCGCGTATACACACATATATAACTAAAAATAACAGTCGTATATATAGTATAACTAATAAAATATATATATTATAATTAATAAAAAAACATATGTATTATAACTAATATATATATATATATATATATATATATATATATATATATATATATATATATATATATATATATATATATATATATATATATATATATATATATATATATATATATATATATATATATATATATATATATATATATATTATACCTTAAAAAGCATATATTTTATAACTATATATATATATATATATATATATATATATATATATATATATATATATATATATATATATATATATATATATATATATATATATATATATATATATATATATATATATATATATATATATATATATATATATATATATATATATATATATATATATATATATATATATATATATATATATATATATATATATAAATTAACAAAATATTCATGTAACTTTAGAACATAAAAAATTATATAGTATATAAATTAAGAAATGTAAACTAAGGAACTAACATAATTTTAAAACAGAAAAAAAATATATATATATATATATATATATATATATATATATATATATATATATATATATATATATATATATATATATATATATATATATATATATATATATATATATATATATATATATATATATATATATATATATATATAAGACAAAAACAATGTATATAAAAACTTTAAAAAAAAAAAAACTACAGTATATAGTATGTGTATATATAATAAGTATGAAGAAGAGAAAAAAGAAGTTACACTCAATTACTTTGTTATATAGTGAGATTTGTGAGGTTGTAGGGAGGTTATAGTAGGATGAAGTAGTGAGGGATCTTGAAAGTGAGAGAAATGCAAATTGTCACATAAATGCAAATGCAACAAGACTCATGCATGTGATATCAATTCATCAAAGTTCGATGGACACTGGGTCATCTGTAACACCCCAAATTTAATCGGAATATGTTAATTAATTATTTAATTGAGAATATTCATGTTTCGGTGAATTTCCGGTGGTTTTGCGAATATTGGAAAATGTGCATTTTCGGGTATTTATTTGATTAATAGCATATAATACTAATTTATTAGTATTATTATTAATTAAATGGAATATAAGTGAAATAAGGGCAATTTGGGCATTTGAGGGAGTTAGTAAGGGTAATGAGGGAAAAGCCCAATTTGTGAGACCCAAG